TTAATTAAATTCCCTTTATGTTCTGCCTGGTAAAGTACTACACCTTTCCAAGCCCATTCCCACGCTGAAAGAAGTAGAAAGTGATGGGGATTTTTGGCCATTAGGAAGGAAGAAGATATTGAATTTGTGAAGTTTAGGATTCAGTAGAAAGCCATGTTTTGGCTCTTCATCCCAAAGATGAAGATTACATGATGAACAGGCAAAGACAGAAAAGGTTTTCTCATCTTCCACATTAATTCTTCCTCAGATTAATTCTTTTTTTCTCCAGAGAAGTTCTTATTAACATTGGGCAATCCCCATAAGCCATGCTATGGTGAAAGGACAAATAAGGCTTATAAACACAGACACAGGATAACAAAATAAGATTGGTTATGTTTTGGAATACATAGCATTCTTTGCATTCGCAGAAGTCAGCTCTTGCTTAACAGAGCAATATTAAGTTTCTATGCATTATAATAGTGATCACACTCTAATAATTTCACAGTAACTAGTCAAAAAGAATCTATGAAACCAACATTTCACTTCATTACTAACAAAACAGAAACTATGTGGACATTTCTCTGCCCCGTTTCAGTAAAATGGTGATAGAATTAAGACTAAGCTTAGTATACAATTGAATATTAAATATATTTAATTGCATTTCTACTATAATTGGTAGTTTTGAGTTTATTCCTCTGAGAGAAGGCATTTTGAGCATTTGTTTTGATGACAAAGTGAGAATCCTACTAAGGGAAGTGGAGGGTATTTATTTCCAAAATAAAAATAGTGATTATTTTATAGAAGTGCAAAGAATATCCAGGGTCTTTCTCTTGTCCCTGTATTACCATAAAATTGTGGTACTGCAAACATGTTTAATTCAGAGCTGTCTGAAAAACAGCAAACAGGACAGTCAAGATCTGGAAATGCAGTGTATCTCTGCCTCTATTTTTTGACTGTCTCTGGTCTTGTTCTAGTAGGCAAGCTGTTGGCTCTTTCTTTGTTATGTTTTGATTTATTCTTTGTTATCTTCAATTTTCAATGAGCAGAAGAGGCTATGGATTGTAGAGATACCTACACTGGACTACGTGTAGGTCAGAGAAGTAAAAATTATCAGAATCCTAGGAAACTTAGGTATAAGGTCACTCTACCCAGAAATTTCTACATGTGTGTGGAAGACATGTTCAATATTTTTCTTTCTATAGCCTTAGTCAGTTGTTTACAGCAATTCTAGTAACAAAAAATATCTGAGAAGTCATAAATTCTTTGGCACAGGAAGACAAGATTGGTTCCAAAATATATTGAAACCAGTGTCTGTCTTCTGAAGGCTGTCCTCAAATTTGTACTGTGTGCAGGAGTCTAAATTTTTAAATGGTGAAATGCAGATAGAAACTGTAAAACCCATTCGGGGTAAGAGGGTTCCAGAGACATCTTGTAGAACTATGATGAATTTTGAAAGGTTCTTGTTGTATGAACCATGGCAATTCTGCAGAATTAGGACAATTACCTAAATGCCTCATTTTTCAGGGATCCTTTGAGCTTGGCATATAAAATGGCCTGTGAAGATTTTGTTCCCAGGAAGGCTGAATCAAATTAGTTGTTTGGGATTTGTCGTTTTTCAAAGTTTGCTGGTCAGAGTTTTTCATATGAGAATTTGGAGTGTTGAATCACTTCACTGTTGTATCAGCTGCATTGTCCTCTCGAAATTGTTCATAAGTGGAACTGCCACAGTTTTAATAAATGAATGCAGTTCCATCTAGAAAATGCAGTCTGATAAAAATATGCCCAAAAATCTTCCATACAGAATCACTGGAAAAGTAAATAATGTTTATGAACCAGATTAATTGGCTTGATGTGCCTGCCTTGTACTGACCTTTGAAGCAAGTCAGCTTTAAACACTATGCAGACAGATAGTTAAATAGGTTTTCCTTCATCCTAATTGCTCAAATGGTGCAATAGATCCTTATATAACCCTACTATATCTAGTTGTTATTTCTTAACTATTTATTTTCATTTGTGTATGTATTTTAGCAGTTACTTGTTTCACACAAGGCTGTGTGGTCTTGTGAAATCATACTATTTAATGCATAATAAATAACCATGGAATCATACATCATATCCACACAGAAAATAGGGGAGTGAAATTTGTTCTTCCCATATGGATATTTTTCCACTAATTTAACTAGATGAAACAGTGGGCTTAACAATGTCTTAAATAAAAGAAAACAAGTTCCTATAACCATGGAATTCAAGTCGACAAGAAAATGTCCAACTTGTCTTCTATCATCTCAAATGATGATAACAAGAGAGCAAAACAGGTCTATTTCATGATATACTACTCAGTAGTAATGAGAAAATTCAGATATATTGCTGGATATTGAATTTATTAATTATAAAAGTATTATTTTGTTAGTTGTTCTCATTAAATCATCCACTTGCCCGGTGCTGTTAGATAAGAAATGCAAATTCCAAAAACTACATTACCATTTTTATTGCTCATCAGAATCATGTCTTACTTTTGAAATATTCAGCATAGACACAAAACAGGAAAAACATGCTGCGTGCAATGTAGAGCAGTGGGATGCCAGAGTGCAAATACTGAATAAGACTGTTTGTAAACAAGCTTCTTATTATTATCTCTTTATTACTATAAACTCTAACAACTCAAAACTTATCTTTTGAATTTACCAATGATACTTCTTTGTATTTCTTTTTTAATTTGCTTATGTTATGTCTTTGTAGCTCTTCTTTCTAAATTATACTAGACTATTCCTTGTTATTTAGAATTATATATTTCTTTATTGTCCCTTCAATAGAGCTAGATACCATGAAGTGCATAGCAGATAGCAGTGTCTGTACTAAGACAAACACTAACAATGTCAAAAGAGACTGCGACTGTCATTATACTTCAGTTAACTTGCAGCATTCCACTTTCAGTCACACAAAAAAAGTAAATATTCCTTTCCTCTTAAAAAGCCTGGTTTTCTTGGAAAAATTCAGACTAATGAACTACAGTAGAATTGTCTAGTTTGTGGTGCATTTGGTCTTTAAAGGAACCATGCTAAATTAAGCCACACATGAACCTTTCCTACTTTTTGTTCCTGAAATATGTCTATAAAGAGCTTAAATTTTCAATCTTCTGCTCTTTTTGCCATGTCCTTAAGCTGTGGACTGTTAAACAACTCCTGCATCTCCCCAGAGATGCAAATCCCTAGCTCCAGTACAAATGAGGTTTGTAAATTCTTGAGGGCGGAATGTTCTACACAAATGGGAAATAGTGTCATTACTTATGGCACTGTGGGAAGCATTTCAAAAGCTGGAACACCCTTGCCTTCAAAAGCAGAAACTTTTCAAAAAAGCATCCTCATCATCCTCCTTTGCAAATACTGGTAAATATTTGATCCACTGAAGTTCAGTGTTATTCAAAGTCATGCATGCCTCAGCCGAGTCCTACTTCCAGATATTGGGGGATACCTGCTCAACCTATAAATCTTGTCAAAACCATCCATATAATTTCTTTCCAAGCAAATCAATAAATATAATTTTGACTTTTTGAACTCAGTATGTATTTTATTTGTTAACTAAAACCACAAAGATTATTCTAAATTCTCTCCAGCCCGTCTGTTTAACCAGTCTATGTTGCAATGGTCAGCCTGCAGCACTTCTATTTTTAGCTCTAATGGAACAGTCTTAAATTGCTTATTTTTTGTTTACTAAAGACATTGAGCTTGTAACCATGGAAACTGTGGCAAGTGCCACAGCTTAACTGTTTTATTAAATGGATGGAACTTACAGCTGCAAAATTTGAAAGGCCAGCATGTCAATTTTATACATAACTCGAATTGCCATATATATGCCACATTATAGCAAGTACTACATTAAATATTAGAGGCCACAATCTGGTCTTGGTTGCAAAGATATAACTTGTACTATCTCTCTCCTCAATGGAAACAAACATACAAAAAATATTCCTGTACAATCTAGATCAAGATCTGATTTTGTCAAACTGCATATGCTGTCAAGTTTCAGTGATTACTGCTTTTGAGTGCCTAAACTGCAGATGATGTACATTAAACCAGTCCCTCATTATCATGGAAAGACCCCGTCTCACAGATGTGTCTGCACGAAATTTTTAGCATATTATTGCTTTCAGCAATCACATTATTTTTGGAACCACTGTGTTCTGTAACATTAATAGAAAGAATTAAATCAAAACTAATGACCTTGTCAACTGAAACTTCTAAAGCCAGAGTGGGAGAATTAACACAAAGAACTCCTTAAATCTCTAATTAGGTTTTTAAACAAGAACATTCTGGCCACCAGAGGTATTGAAAGTTTACACTCTCTGTTACTTTTAGTATAGGCTGAGTATGTGAAAGCTGGGGTATTTTTAAATTCATACTTAAAATTGTATATAACACTTAAGTCAAACCCTTCAGAAAATTATTGAAAATTTTTAGCACAATTTAGATGATTTTTGTGATGAAGTATAAAACAAATGACAAATAAAATGTTTAATACAAACCTAAACATTTCCCCAAAGTCCCAAAAGACTGAGAGCTAAAATAAGAATAGTGGTATATTTACACCCATAAATACTTAATGCATGACTCATCCTGTGTAATAGAACCAAATGCTTGAAGAATGCTCAACATTTAGAAGAATTAGGTTCTGCTTTCTCTGCAAGGACTGTGGTTGGAACAGTGTTCACATTTCTACTTTTGGTGTTACATGTCTCCCTATTACAGGTCCAGTGAATAAAAAAACCAAAAAGTAAAATTGACATTTCAAAGTAGACACCTCTTGGTAATGGTAAGATTCCAAGAAATTATGAACAGTGGTATTTCTTTCTATGAAAACATTACTTAATTGTTTAAATTAAAGAATACATTTATTTGAAATCAATTATTGATTTAAAATAATATTCTTCACTGTCTGTTGGCATAACTAGACTTACTGAAGTGAAAAAAAAAAATGTTTCCTTCCATTTATATTTTTCCTTTTTTTTTTTAATCCATCTGCAGGATCTACCTTCATTTGCAACACCCATATAATTCCAGTGAAAAATCAAGAGGGAGTAGCAATGATGTTTATTATTAATTTTGAGTATGTAACAGATGAAGAGAATGTGGCATCTCCTGAGAAGTGCAAGCCAATATTACCATCTAAACTTGTAAATCGTAAGTTACTCAATGAAATTTTCTTTCTTACTTCTATTTTATCTGGCAAAGTAATCAACATGGGCAATAAGGTTAGCAAAGGATGCAATCGCATTGATTGACTCAATAATCTGAAATCATAAGAAGCTAAATGTAGCAAACCTACTGCAAGATGTTGGTAAAATAATCTGTCAGATCTTTGGTAGTAGTAACAGCCTAGATCTTGTAAATAGTAGTAGTATATATAGTAGTAGTAAATAGTAGTAGGATATATAACATCATAAAAATTTAAATCTTTCACAGAAGTGCATTATCCTTGACAAAAATCAATTACAAATGGAAAACTTTAAAAAAGCATTGTCATATAGCCAAAATATTTCATCTTAGCCTATTTGAAATTGAATATTTCTATTTTATAAAAAATAATTGGTGTATTTTGATTAATAGTTGGTGAAATGTGATTAAATTAGACTATAACATAAAAAAATCAGTTAAAACATAATTAAATACCCTGATTTTATCAAACTGAAGTATTTAGATTGACTTGAAGGATGGGGGGGTGCATGAGTGAATGTTCAGGAAATGCTTTTGCTTTCATTCCACTCTGGAACATAAGTATTGTCAGAATTAGAAAACTCAGCACAAATGTCCACTTCTTATACAATTGCACTGTGTAGTTTTCTGTCCCACTATCTGCAGAACATGTGCTCTTTTGCTGACCTTCACTGTGTGCAGCAACAGCACACAATCCTTCTGCTTTACGTCGCCACTCATGTAATCTACTCTTACTACAAGATTTCCCAGAACACATCCCATTTGTACAAGCTCTTAGTAAAGCACAGCATGCTCTAACAGTAAGCATTAACACTTGGGAAATACCTTTGCACAGTGAGATAATCTTTAGCATTAGTACAATAAAGGAACATAAGTATTCCAATTCTTAAATCAACACTTCAGTTTTCTCTAGTTAGGAAAAAAGACTGCTACAATCATCACAAGGAGAGAACTTTCTTGATGCAAACACTACACAGCACCTGGTCTGTCGAGCCCTACAATGACAGGGTGTATAAGATTGTGGCAAAGGAAATTTCCATTATTGAAAACTTGCAGTCTGCAAATAATTATTCCAAATATCCAATTATATTTAACTAAATATCACATTTTTTAAAAAGCCTTTGTAATAATCTTTACAGTACATATTTAAAATCTTTTTAAATTTATGCTTTTATGCTTGCTTTTCTTATTCTGTTTTGCATAAACAATCCTTGCAGAGAAAGCAGAACCTAATTCTTGGGTTTGGGGTTTTTTAATAACCAATACGGCAGCTTTTGTTGAGATTTTTTTGAGATACCGAGAAAACACTTTTTTTCTGCTAATGATCCAGTTAAAATCCTATTAAGGGATATCGGAAAAATTTTTTAATTGCATCAGAAAAAAATTATAATAAGTACATCAGGTAAACGCTACCCATATTTTGGTTTTAATTTAGTATAGCATGGTTTTGTGAGTTTGAAACATCTTACTTCCTCCATCTAAAAAGCAATTTTATAACAGATAAAATTGTTCAGTTTGTCCATGCTTACTGTGGTTTTATGGACAAAATAGAAAGTAAAATACCAATTGGGTAGAAAAAAACAGATCTTCATGTCTTGAAAAAGAACATTTTGTTCTCATATCTGTGACACATCACTGTACACTTTCAAGTGTTATCACTTGCCGCACTTTAAAGTGAAAAGCCACTAAAGAGAAAATCTGCAAAAAATACCTCCACTTTGTCAAAACATCCTTTTCTTGTTTTATGGTATTTACACCTGACATACACAGGGGATTTCCTTGCTGAGAGTTCTTGAAAAATTAATAAGTGGGCCTCCAAGCTCAGTACATAACTGACCTTGCTCAGAGAGAGACCAAGGTGCAAAAGGAAGCAAGGAAAGGTGACTTGAACCATTTTCCTGCTAGTGGGTACAGCCAGATGCCAGAAACTGGCAGAAAGTAGAGCAGGCACACGGCTGCTCCGTCTTCTACCGAGTTGCTTATGGTTTCAGAGCAGACTGTTATGTGGGCCGGATGGGATGGATGGTGATACAAAATATGCTACATAGCCAAAAATTCCTCTTGGCAAAAAGAGGCCAAGCTATGCAAAACATCCAGAAATAACTGCAAGATATTGTGTACAGTTCAATGGTGGTTTTAAACTATAAGAGAAAAAGGCCTTGAAATGCAGAAAAGGCAACGAGACCAATAAGCTAGAAAAAAAGTCAAAAAAGGTGGATTGTTTACCAGTGAAAACATATTCTTTTAAGTCATGTTCCCAGCATAAGAAAGGTACACAGCAGATTCTCCAGGGCATAGTTTTTTCATCATCATACTCTATTTAGAACAGGTAATCCAGGTGATCTCTTTTCACTGGATCACACACAAAATGGACAGCAATAGGTACTGGTTCAGGGAAAAAAAGCATCAAAATCCCTTTGAATGCAGCAACCAGTTCAGAGAATAAAAATAGAGAAGGAACCAAACACTTAACAAGTGCAATACATCTCTGACAAACAACCAGGAAAAGCAACAGCTAATGATAAAAGACAAAATATTTCAGATTACATTAACATCTACTACCCAGAAGCACACAGATAATATTTCTTTCCAGAGTTCCTTAGATTGAGTTTTCTCATATTAGAATACCTTTTCAAAATGAGGAAAAAAAAAAAAAAAAAAAAAAAAAAAAAAAAAAAAAAAAAAAAAAAAAAACAACAACAAAAAAAAAAAAGACTGAGTCATGCTGCAGGAGAGAAGTAAAAGTTATTAAAGTTATTAGGAAGTAAATAGATTGCAACTATTTTCCTGTCCCTGGAAAAGAAGATAATTTCTCATACTCTCATCCTTCCTCTAATGGATTTATCAATAGTTGATCAAATTTATCAAGTGTAACTTTGAAAAGCCTTTCCTTTTTTCTAAAAGCATCTATTCTGCAAGCTGCAGCCAACAGTTTTGAATATTACCACTTACCATAGGGCTCCTCATGACAGAAATTGCCACTGAGGTGAGCTCAGCAGATTACAGCAGAGTGCTAATAACATTGAGGTTGTGGGTGGTTGTTGGACCCTGTATGGGTCATTCACTTAAGGGTTGGACTCATCCTTCCACTTCAGAATATTCTGTGATTCTGTGAAATCTAATGCAATGTAATAAAAAAGCATTTCATGCTGTGAAGAAAAGAGGGATTTCAACCTGTTAAAGGGCTAAGGACCCTCTGAACAAATTAAGACCTCTGGAAGACAAGTAGCAATTTTTAGGATTAGCTCAGTGACTGCATTTAGCTCTGGACAGGCAAAAATTTTAAAATCTATCAGCTAAATACTGGAGGATATTTCCAACAGTGTTTGTAAATTCTCTTGTACAAGGATTCTGTCTTTTGTTATGTGCCAGAATGATGGCTAACACAGGTTCTGATTCAGCACTGGGCTTGGCAGATGATGATAATAATAGATTATAAAAAAAAAAAGAGGTATGTTTCAGGAGTTTGCTGAGCACATTTGAGTATAAATAGATTTCTTTCTAATCTGCTGCTCAAGACTTCCCCTCTTATATGCAGCAAATGTCTGAATAGGCAGGAATGTGAAAAGTGAAGATAGTGGCTTCAGAATAGCAGCGTAAAAGTTCTTTCAGTTGATCCATTTATTCCCCTAATATTTTCTGGCACAAATTTATCATCAATTCTCACTGGCAGCTGGAACAGTTTTTGTATAACCAAATAGTGAAATTTGGGAAGATCATTGCATGCACTAACCCTGTAAAAAATCTCAGCCAACTGATTTTTCACTCTTTTCTGTTTTGTTTTTGTAGTTTGCAGCAAATTTATTTTCCAATGTATGCAAGTTCCCTAGTAAAACTAATGAAGCCTTTGCTTATATGTAACTTTTCTCTTTTTTTGAGGAAAAAAGGGCATAGCCCAAAATTTTGCTGTATCTTTTAAGCTTTTAATCAAACTTAATTTAATACTATCCCTGTTCCATCTTTACATTCAAAGGCATGGAGAAAATTCTTCTGTGTACATTTATCCCACAAGTGGGTAACATCCTCTTCTCCAGTAAGAATGTATTTGTACAACATGCACCCAAAGAGAGACTTAGAGAAACTGATTTCTGCTATAGATGTTAATTCATCATTCAATCTTTCTAAGTTTTGTCTCATTTCCATATTTGAGAATTCTACTCATTCTTACTTCAATTATTTTCTAATGAGTTTTGTTGGCTTTTGTGTTGTCTTTAGATCATGTAAACATTTCAGAATTTCAGAAATTAACATCTATACCCAAAGATAAACACACTTCATAACCTTATCTCACCTCATTTTGCATATGTAACATTTGAGGCCAAAAATACCTGCTTTGTAAATGAAGCAATATTTCTGTAGTGTATTGAAATGTTAGGACTGATCATTTTGAGCTACATGAGCCCTAAAAATAAATTTTACTCATCTCTAGCAGTTCTTATGGACTGTTCTCTTACACCTTCTAAGACACTAACAGTTGCTTGATTGTCACTATTATGGTAAAAAAATTATTCCTAAAAATGTCGTTCATAAATTTTTCATGAATGTAACCATTTGCAAAGCTGTATAAAATTTTGAACTCAAACTGAAATAATGCATAAAGAATGTATATTTAGCAAGAAATATAGAAATATAGGGTAGATCTTCTACAATGAACAAAGAAGAGATGTGATTTTATACTACCTTAGCAAAAAACTTCTTTGAACACTAGCAAATTATAATTTAAATTTATCTACTAGTAACAGTTTTTAACCAAAATAACATATTAGTTCCCATTCAGTGTGTTGTACAAACTTAATTAAAATCCTTATTATAAAGTGTTAATCTATAACTTCTAGGTGTAAATATGTCTTTTATATGAATGGTTGAGGAAAGGGACCCTTAGTGTTGAATTTTATTCTCAAACCTCTCAAACATTCCACTGTGGCATGCTCATCCACTCCATTATTTTATGAGGAGTTTTTATGGCA